GGCAGCTGGCGGCAGGCAGGGCGCCGGGCTTGCTCGCAGCGCTCTCGGCGAGGACGAGCGAGGATGGCGGCGGCATCATGACCAGGTGCGCCAGTGGGTCGGGCTTCAATGAGAGCGAGAGGGGTTGCGTTTGTTCAGTCTGTGGTTTCGAGTCTCTGGAGGGGGAGGCGAGCATGGTGGGGGAGGACGGAGGAGAGTCTAGTAAGCTTCCATCTGAAGAGGGTGGGCTGACGCAGCTGCCTTCACCTTGTATGTAGCGAACGCACTTTTTTTTTCTCCTAGAAACAGGGAGAGAGTTATCTGTGAATAAAGGGCAGAGACGCCGACGGAGACAGTCACCTAAAGCAGAGTGCCGTCAATTCGCTACCCTGGGCTCTGCGCGGGTGGCACCCCGGCCCCACGCGCCGTCCTGGGGGTCTGGTGGGGTGTCCTCAGCACTGAGCCCGCTCGGGAACCTCCCCTCGGCTAACAGATTTGGAAAGGATTCGCCAATTGTCTCTTCGTCCCCCTCCTCTTCAGGCCGTCTCCTTTTCCTTACTAATTTTAATAATCAGAAAATCAGATAAGACATTTTTGGAGCCCACTGCGCTAATCTACAAACTCGACTTTCCTCCAGGGGAAAAAATAATAATTAAACCTTATAAAGTAAAAGCTCTGGATAGTGGATAGTATCTCAAGATGTCCCATAACGCTGTCCAACTCAACGGGCTACCTCTACACCTGCGTCACCTGGCGTCTCCTACGATGCACTGCCCTTGGGACACAAGGACGGCTGCAAACTACTGCTCATTGCTTTCTCCTCTGTTAAGAACCACACCAAATCCAGAAACATCAGAGTCAGACAGGAGGGATATATCATAGAGAGAACGAGAGAGAGGGGAAATAAAAACGAAACGAACAAACAAAGCAAACAGAAGAAAAACCAGGAAAAGAACAGAATAAACAGAGTATGATCCAAAATAACAAGAATAACTGGTTGTATGGCCTGCAGGTTGTGGCTTTAAATCGACCCAGTTTTACTTTTTTTTTCAAGGGAGGGTGGTAGATTTGGGAAGCTGCTCGTCTGCATTTTGGGGAGTTTTCCTCTGAGAGGCCACCCATGTAACTCCAGAGCAGGATCCAATTTCAGTGGGTGAAGCGCACGACAACAGGTACAAAGGTGAGGAGCAACATGGAGCTTATTTCACACCAGGGAATGCGAGTGTCTCACACGAGCCGCTCATCTTTAAATAACTGAGTAAGTGACCCGACAGAGATCTTTTCTCCTCCCTCTGTCCACTTAATAATGTAAAGGAGCAATGAAAACAGATGACAGTTTCACACCATCTCTCTTGCCAAGTATATGCAAGACAATTCTAGCAGCAGGACAGAAATAATGAGGCAAACAACCGCAGCATCTAGCAGAACGATGTTCAGTGGCCACCTTGACCCTAACAATGACGGCTCTCCAGCCCTCCTATTCACAAGCACACTTTCCATGGGAAGTGCCTAACCCGCGTCCA